CCTGCAATCCTAGCTGCTCAGGAGACCAAGATCTAAAGATGGGGGTTCGAAGCCAGTCCAGGCAGAAAAGTCCATGAGACTTGTCTCTAGTTAACCAACAAAAAGCTGGAAGTGGAGCTGTCATAAGTGGAAGAGGATCAGTCTTTAGCAAACAGGCCCTAAGTTCAAATTCTAATATACACAAAGCACGCATGCGCACGCATGCACTCACACAAAACCACTGAACCTCACTTTCCTCTTCTATGCTAGTGAGTTCTCCAACCACCTCCTACTTCTTATGCAGGCACCAAATAAAGATAGCACTTAGACCACGGGCAGGGACCTCTTACATGGTTGCTATCTGTTGACAGTTCCTCAAGTCTAACTCGCTGTTTTAAGGCCAGTTTTCATATCTTCTAGCCGGCACATGTCAGTTTCTTACAGTGTTGAGCCCAGCCACCTTTTCTTCCATTTCACCTTGAGCTAGTTCCTCAACTGCTTTTTGGTTCCTAGTTTTCATTTTGATCATGTGCAAATAAACGGTTTGACACTGTCTTCTCATAAGGTTACTCTGAGCATTAAAGTGAGTTAATACACTGAATGAGGTCTTTGAACGCTCTGTGGCTGGGTCATGTCAAGATGATTGACAGATGTCTCTTAACTGTTCAAGAGAAGGAGTCAAGGTAGGGCAAGCAACGGGGTGGGTGGTCCATCAGGATACACTGAAGGATAGGTAGAAATGCCACATCCAGATTTTCCTTGTACAATTAACATATGCTAATAAAAGTTAAAAGAAGGGGCTGGGAATATGGTTTAGTGGCAGAGTGTTTGCCTACCATGCCTGAAGCCCTGGGTTCGATTTTTCAGCACCACATAATCAGAAAAAGCCAGAAGTGGAGCTGTGGCTCAAGTGGTAAAGTGCTAGCTTTGAGCAAAAGAAGCTCAGGGACAGTGTCCAGGCCCTGAGTTCAAGCCTCAGAACTGGCAAAAAAAAAAAAAAGAAAAAGAAAAAGTTAAATTAAGCTGAGTGCTAGTAGCTCATTTCTGTAATCCTAGCTACTCAGAAAGCTGAGATCTGAGGGCTGAGATTCAAAGGCAGGCAAATAAATCCATGACACTCTTAATCTCCTATTAACTAGCAAAAAGCCAAAAATGGTAAAATGTCAGCCTTGAGTGAAAAAGTTAAGGGAGAGTTCAAGGCCCTGAGTTCAAGCCCCAGTACCAACACACACACACACACACACACACACACACACACACACACACACATTTAATCTAAAAATGAAGTAAGGGTTATGAAGTCAAGCCCCAGGCAGGGTATAGGTCCTTCCAGAGGATGCTCCTGTTTGTACCATCCATGTTATGCTCTCTCGGTCTCCACCCCTCTCTGTCTGCTCCCCCCCCCCCCAGATTGGAATCAAAGGCCTCACGCATGCCACCCACGTGCTCCACCACTGAGCCACACCTCTTCCAGCCCCACAAACTCCTCTTTTTATTTCTCAATGGATGACAGGGACCCCCCCCCCAAGGCCAGGACCCCAGCGGCCAGGGAAGTCTGTGTCAAAGAGGACTTGGGCATCTGTCTTCAGATCTGTACCACTGTTGGGCAGGAGAGGATTCGACTTGTGGATAACCCTAGGGGACAGAGACAGGAAGCTCTCTCCAATCATGAGAACTGTTTGGAGGCAGAGCAAGCAGCCAGGTGGAGCTGGAGCTGGGCAGCCCAGGGCTACCCGGTCAGGCAGGTGAGCTGCAGGGTGGAGCTTTGCTGGCTGGGAAGCTGAACTATCCCACAGGTTCTCAGGCCTGGTAAACCTGAGCATCAGAATCATCTCAGGTGCTTTTCAAATATACATTCCCATCCCCACCCCTCCAACCTGATCAGAATCTCTAAGGTTAGGGCTGGAATCCTCCTCCTTTCTTTCTTTCTTTCTTTCTTTCTTTCTTTCTTTCTTTCTTTCTTTCTTTCTTTCTTTCTTTCTTTGCTTTTTCAGCACTAGGGCTTGAACACAGGGCCTTGCACTTGGCTTTACCACTTGAACCATGCCTCCAGTCCTTTTGTTGTTTAGTTACCTTTAAGATAGGCTCTTCCATTTTGCCCTAGCTGGCCTTGACTCACAGTGAATCTTCTCATCTCCACTTGTAGAGTAGTGGGATTACAGAAATGTGCCACTACACTCTCCTAGGAACTTACTTTAAAACTTACCCTCCTCTCCATAATTCTCATCACATGGGGATAGGTTTGAAGGTAAGACTGGAGGGTGGGGGAGGAGTGAGCCAGAACCATCTAGAGATCCATTTGCAAGCTTTCTCACTCTTTTCCATTGACCACCATGACCCTTACCCCATGGGTTTGGGGACAATCAGGATCCTAGCCCCAACCTCTCCCGGACTGTCTATGGCCTTTGACCAGAGGATTACTCACACACCTAACAGCCTCTCTAGCTGCCCCTCCCCACACATGCCTTCTCATCATATACACTTCCTTTTCCACCCCCTCCCTCTGCCCCTTTCTCTCACCTTGAATTCAGGGCCTGCACACTATCCCTTAGCTTTTTTTGCTCAAGGTGAGCACTCTACCATTTGTACCACAACTCCATATCTGGCTTATTGCTGGCAAATTGGAATCCTACAGATTTTCCTGCCCTGGGTTGGCTTGGAGCTGTGATCCTCAGCTCTCTGCCTCCTTTCTGAGTAGCTAGGATTACAGGCGTGAGCACTGTAATCAGAGAGGACTGCTCTGTCTCTCACTCTTGCTCTCTCTCAGCCCAGGCTGGCCTTGAACTCACAGTCCTTGTCTTCCTGCCCCTCCTTCATCTCTTGTTCCAGTTCAGTCTGGTTCCTTGTGTCTCTCAGGTGACCCCCCCTCGCCCCCCCCCCCCCCCCCCAAAAGACGCCTGGAGGAGCGAGCCAGTGCTGACTGCCTAGGAGGGGCTGCCCTTTCCCGAAGCAGGCTACAGAGAACGCCTTCCACCCAGGCCTTGAACACCTAAGGGACACAAAGATCGTTGCCCACCCTAAGCCTTTGGGTCAGTCCCAAGGGTTGGTGTGCCACGGGGCACCAGGAACTCACAACCCCCCAGCCCTCCCCCCTCCCCCACTCCCCACCCCCCCCACCCCCCGCCAGGGAGAAGCTGCGGTCTGCATCAGACAGATGCCCGCCAGTTTAGGACCAGGAAGAGGAGGGGGTACTGACCCCACCAGGGGAGGGGAGGAGTGGGCCCCAGGAGGAGGGGGATTGTGGACCCCCAAGAGGAGGGAGCAGGACGGGGGAGAAGAGCCCCAGAAGGAAGGGGGCGGACCTCCAGGAGGAGGGAGCAGGAGGGGATTGTGGTTTGCAAAGGCAGCCGCCGCCTTCAACCCTGGCTCCACAGCGCCTCCTGGCGTCGTCTTGGCGCAGCGCGGTCGCCCGGCGGGCGGATTCGCGGGCCTCTCCGGGCCGCAGTGCCGCCCCCCCGCCCCGCCCCAGTGCCCGGCCCTGGCCCGAGGTCCCGCCCTCCAGGCCCGCCTTCACCGACCGCCCCGCCTGCCCCGCCCAGCGTGCACCGGCTTCCAGGCCTCGCCCGGCGTGGCTTACAGCCCTCGGCTTTTCTCCCCCTGAAGGTGCGCTCCGACCCCTTCCCCACGTCGGGTGGTGGCGCTGCGGACCAGTAAGGGGCCTGGGAGGACGGTCCTGGGCGAGGGGACCCGCGAGGCGCCCGCGCAGCCAGCAGAGGGCAGCGTGGCCCCACCCTTGGTGCCCAGGCGCCCGTCCCGGCCACTCCTGTGGGCTGGCCAGGAAAGGAGAACCTGGACCTCGTGGATCCCAAATGTGTGCAAGAACCTCTGCCCAGAAACCTCCCTGAGCCCCTCCAGCGGGCCAGGTCAGGTGCAGGCCGCAAGGGCCAAGGTCACCTTGACCCTACAGCTGGGGAGCCCAGGCAGTGCCCACCCAGGACCGGCAGTCACCTCTCATCTCTAGCTTTCACCTGTGCCTCCCGTGGGAGGTGGTGGTGGTGTGTGTGTGTGTGTGTGTGTGTGTGTGCGTGCGTGCGCGCGCCACTGTTGGGCTGGCTGGCCTTTTGGACACACAAGGCCTTGTTGTTAAAGCTTCTGCTCATATTTTTGAAAATTCATTGTGAACCATTTTCAGGAAGAAGCTCAAGCCCGGAAGCATGACATATTTGTTCTCTACAAAATGAGGTACCCTGCAATCTCAAGCACCTGTTTCCTAAAGTCTGGCCTTACTAGGCAGCAGACTTCCCTGGTCTCTCCACCCGCTTTCCCCAGGCAGAAGCGAGCTTTCTGCATTTGACTTGGAAGTTCCTCTGGCTGAGTTTCCTTTTGAGGCCGGGGCTTTCCAAGCTGGGAGAAGTCCTGAGCATTTTGGGGATCTAGACGAGCCCCTCAAATGCACAAGTCCATGCAGTTCCCATGCCCAGATGTAGGGGCCAGGCAGTGACATTCAGTTGGTAGAACCACTCAGGTTGCACGAGTCACTTAGAACTGATGTTGAGAGGCCAGTGGACCTTAGAAAAAGCTGGAGTAAATTCATTCCCACCTTCTTGCTAATGTTGATGGCTCTGATCCAGTTCCCTCCCGGATTCCAAGGGGATGGTGTGGCCATGCCTGGCAGACACAGGGTCAGGACACCAGAGTTGTGTTCTAAACAGCTTTATTGACCAGATGGGAAATCAGCTTGAACACAGCCTGCTTCTGCAGCTACAGACGGCGTCCTGTCAGTGGTTGGGAACGCTGCCCCTCCCTCTCGGCCTGCCGCTCCTGACCTGCAGGCCTGGAACAAATGGAGCTATAGGACCAGCAAAGGTGCCCAGGGATGGAGGTACAAGGGGAGCTGTAAGGAGTGGGCACAGAGAGAAGGAATGTTGAAAGAAGGCTGAGGCTGTCTGCCTCCCTCCACATCCAGGGAACAGTGGGCTGGGCTGGGCTGGGCTGGGAGCAGGGAGGAGCTGCCCACTGCAGCCTCAGGACCCATAGTTAGGGCCAGCGCCAACTCCCCTAAGAGCTGGACCACTAAGAAACTCAGGAACTAGATGCAGAAGGGGGTCAGACGACCTCCTGAGAATGGATCCTCCAGTCCTAAATGGGAGTCCACCAGTTCCACAGACTCAGGCCAGAGAAGCAAGGGGACCCTCTCCAAGGGTTAGGGCCATGCCTGTACACATCTCAGCCTTCCACAGTGACTACTCGACTGGGACTCCTCAGACTTCTTCTGAGAGACACCAGCAGCCTATCCTCTACCACAGGAGAACCCCTACGGTCCAGTAAGCCACCGCCTTTCCCTGCCTCTTTCTGGGTCTGCTTCCTCTTGGCCTATAGCTGCTGCTCCTCCTTTAGACTTCAAGATGTGGCCCAGGTGCCCTGGCTGGTTGCTGTTGGACATTGAGCTTAAGAGGCCAAAAGCAGAGGTCTGTGGGGTGAAGTATAGGGAGAGGGGGGTCTGGTCCCACTTAGACTAAAAAGACAGGTGTCTCCTACTGGTTGGTGGTAGTATCAGAGGACAGGCAGGAGGAACTCAGTGAGGTGGGAGCTCAGGCCAGACCCCCCCTAAACCAAAGGGAGCCAGATGCCCAAGTTCAAATCATTAGTGAGGTGTGGCAGGGCTGAGTGAGCGAGGTCCTGGGGGGCGCTGAGGCTGCTGCAGGGGGGTGGCGATGAGAAGCACAGGACTGGACGGTGCAGCGGGCAATGGCGGCTTCACTCTGAGTGGACCAAGGCTCCAGCTCCCTGTCCGAAGCCGAAGCCTTTGGGTCCAAAGTTTTTAGCATAGCATCCTGCAGACAGAGGACACAGGGTAAAGACATTTTGCTCCCTGCCTAGTAGCTCATCCCACCAGCCCTGGGAGTTACCCCCATGGCTACAGCAACTGTCCAGCTCAGTTGTGAGAAGGACCCATTTTCTGTACGGATTGAAGATGATCGGATGGGAATCCAGTGGAATCCGATCAAGTCCTTTCCTCCCTCTGGCTTGTTTCCCCATCCATGACCAGAAAGAGTCACATGAAATGGCTTGTGGATATTAAGGCAAGGAGAGATACAGCTTCTGTCTCCCTCCTATCTCAAGCCTCCTGATCCTCAGTAAGAAGTGAAATTATTGCCTGGTGCCAGTGGCTCACACCTGTAACCCCAGCTACTCAGGAGGCTGAGATCCCAGGATCATAGTTTGGAGTCAACCTGGACAGGAAAGTCTGAGAGACTCTTATCTCCAATTAACTAGCAAAAAGCCAAAAGTGGTGCTGTGGCTCAAATGGTAGAGTGTAACTAGCCTTGAGCAAAAAAGCTCAGGGACAGCACCCAGGCACTGAGTTCAAAGCCCCAGAACTGACAGCAAAGAAAAAGAAAACAAAAAACGGTGAAACTACTCACCTTTGCAATAGATCTCGCCATCCTTGTCTGCCAGGGTGGTGGACTCCAGGCCTTTCCCACATTTGGCACACCGGAAGCAGGATTTATGCCAGGACTAGGTAAGAAAGGAGACAGTCAGTGCTACTGCTAGTAACCAGGATGTCCCTGTGCCCTTTGAAGCCATGATGGAAAGGTCCTCCTAGGCAGGGGCTGCTGGGAGAAGGTGACCCAGGGTTGCTGGGTCCTTTGGGGAATTGGGGCAGGGACTGACCTCAAACAACCTTACCCCATTTCCAGATGTGTGCTGCAATAGTTTAATGTAAGTGGCACCAGGCACACCACACAAAGGAAATATGGGGCTGAGGCCACATCCAAAGAGCTGCTTTCCCATCGGCAACTAGACAGACCTTCCCCACACCCATTCTGCCTGCAGACTAGCAGGATGAGCACACACTGGTGAATGGCCTCTCTAGTGTCCTCCCCTGGGGACCTCTGCCTACCTGGCAGGAAGGCTGTGTGGACTCACTTCCTAGATGGCTGATGTCTGGCCACACAACACAAACATTTGTTTTTGTTCTTTTGTGCAGGTCACAAGGCTTGAACTCAAGGCCTGGGTCCTGTCCCTTAGCTTTTTAAACACTCAAGGCTGGTGCTCTACCACTTGACCTCCAGTTCCAGTTCCAGTGTTTTGGTGGTTAATTGAAGGTAAGAGTCTCATGGACTTTCCTGCCCAGGCTGACTTTGAACTACAGTTCTCAGAGCTCAGCTTCCTGAATTGCTAGGATTACAGGCCTGAGCCACCAGCATGTGGCCCATCACAGACATTTGTAAACAGAATTCTTCTAGAAGAGCCCACCTGCTGAGGTCCTGGAACTCAGGTCTTACTTTATCTTAGCCAGCAAGCTCTGGGAGTGGTCTGGCCATACCTCCCTCACGAGGTAGCAGTGAGCACTAAATGACTTCTTCAGGGGGTCCGGCAGGGAGGAGGCCCTGGGGCAGTGTTGTCTAGTGGGACTGAGGAAGGAGAGTGGGTCTCTACAAAGCATCCAAGTCAGCAGAGGCAGGCCATAGAAGGCTATGAGTAGTTCTAAGAGGTGACCAGAGGTGGCAGCACAGGCTCAGGTCTGTGCACAGTAATCACACATACACACATGCGCTCTCTCTCTCTCTCTCTCTCTCACACACACACACACACACTCACACTCACACACACTCTCACACACACACACACACACACACACACTCGCACAGACTCTGGCACAGCAGACAGTATGACTGCTTGACAGCTGGCTCCCATCAACAACAGCTGAGCAGGCTGAGAGGCTGCTGTGTAGACCACACTGCTAAACTCTAAAAACACTGCTAATCTAAAAGCAAGGGGCCGGCAGCAGTCGGGCAGGACAAACAATGCCTTTTAAGGACAGACAGACCTCAGCACAGACAGGGGTGTCCAGGCTGGAGGGAGTGAAAAGAAGCTGGGTGCTTTCAGATTTCCATGCCATTACCCCTCACCCCAGGCTCCTTCCCCTGTGCTCAAGCAAGAGTGGCGGGGTCCGGGGAGCTGATGTGGGGTTCCAGTCCTCTCTCAGTGTCTCATGCAACCTCACCCAGCCTTTGTGTCCTCCTCTATAAAGCAGAGGCTGCTACCCTCGCTCTCCAGGCTGGAGAAGGACTGGGTCACAAATGGATCACCCCCCACCTCACTTTTCTCTTTTTATTTTTTTTGGGGGGGCATCCAGTCGTGGGGCCTGAACTCTGGGCCTGGGCGCTGTCCCTCAGCTCTTCAGCTCAAGGCTAGCGCTCTACCCCTTGAGCCACAGCGCCACTTCCAGCTTTTTCTGCTTATGTGGTGCTGAGGAATCGAACCCAGGGCCTCAGGCACGCGAGGCAAGCACTCTACCACTGAGCCACCTTCCCAGCCCCCCCCCCACCTCACTTTTCCAAACCAGCTGCCTCAGTGGGGCTCTGACTCTGCTCCTTCCCACAGAACTTAAAAAGTATGTCCTGCTCCTGCTCCCCTGGGTTGAGCTTCTTCCTGCCTTTCCCTTTTCAACTCTTCCTCACTTCTCTGCTGCTTAGTACTTAGTACTTTACCTTTTATGCCCATCTATGTCATCGAAATAGCAATTCCTAGGAATTTTGTTTGTTAATTATGCTGTGTGTGTGTGTTGTGTGTGTGTGTGTCAGTCCTGGGGCTTGAACTCAGGGCCTGGGCACTGTCCCTGAGCTTCTTTTGTTCAGGGTAGCACTCTAATTTGAGCCACAGCACTACTTCCAGCTTTTTTCTGTGGTTTATGTAGTACTGAGGAATCGAACCAAGGGAGCCCAAGACTTCATGCATGCTGGGCAAGCATTCTACCACTAAGCCACATTCCCAGCTCCTCTTAGGTATTTAAAAAAAATTTTTCTATTTCGTACTGGACAAAGCAAGAAAGAGAATGTGATCACAAGCAGAGGTACGGTCACTATTTGCAAAGTTCTGTGGTCTACCTTTCTGGAAGGTGTCTTCTTGCCATAGTACTTTGTGCCCATTAGCACCTTACCTTCCCAGCACCAATCACCTTCTCTGCTGCATAGACCGCCTGGCTACACCGCGGGCAGCGCTCGGAGCCGCCGATCTTCTGGGCGAACTTGGATGCATTGGGGTTGGTGGTGGGCCTGTGGCCAGGTGCTCTGCATGGAGGAAGTACACAGGATGAACTGACTTTCAGTAGCAAATACAGGTGGGACTGGCCTTCCACGGATAAGATCCACAAACGCAAGGGCTGTCGCCCCTGGCACAGATGGACGAAGCAAGGCTCCGCAGCGTGTTACATTCACGGACACTTCATACTTCCTTCCATCACCCAGTTACAACCCCAGAATCATTTCACACCTCATTTGCTAAGAAACCCCTCCTCAGCTCCTCATTTCTGCAGTTGGTCTATTCTTAGATTCTTTCCGGAAGAAATCCAGTAACAGATCATTCCCCAAGGGCAATGACCTTGGCTGAAATTTAGTAACTCGTCCATCATCTCTGCCTGTTTCCCCAGAACTGATGCACTGGCCAGGCTGACAGACAACAGCCCCACACGCCAGCAGGTCAGAGGCCAGGGAGACCCAGTGTCCCCCTGTGGCATGTCCAAAGCAAAGAAATGACTTTCTCTCACGGGTTGACAGCAAGGCTGGCCTGGCAGCGCTGCTCCCAAACCCTGGGCTGGGTCAGAAACCCACTTGTCAGGAATCTCCTGGGTTTTTTCGTCTTCAAAATGAGGAAGTTGGATAAAAATATTTGTTGGGGCCCCAACTCGGGTGATGTTTATAGAAATATACAACGCATGCTCAGTGCCAGGAACAGCTTGACCTGTTGCATTCCTGGCTGGGTCCTTGGCTGCTCTATGGCTCCCTTTATTTTTTTAATTGTATTTATTTACATTTTTTGTTTTGTTTTTGGGACAGGATTACCCTGTGTAACCTAAGCTGGCCTTAAACTTGGCCATCCTTCGGTTGTAGGCTCCAGAGTACTGATATTATAGGCATGTGCCACTGGCCTAGCTTTCTTTTTTTGTCTGTTTGTTTTGTTTGTGCAGTACTGGAGATTGAACTCAGGCCTCAGGCTTCATCAACTAGCTTGCTCAGCTGGTGCTCCACCCCTTGCCATACCTCCAGCCTTGGTTTTTTATAATTATTTTAGAGATGTACCCCTGAGGATTTTTCTGCCCAGACTGGCTTTAAATCATGTCCTCCGGATCTCAGCTTCCTGAGGAACTGGGAGGCTGAGACTAAGGATCACAATTTAAAGGCAGACCAAGCAGGAAAGTCCATGGGACTCTTGTCTCCCAATTAACCACCAAAAAGCTGGACATGGAGGTGTGGCTCAAGTGATAGAGAGCCAACTTCAAGCAAAAAAGCTGGGAAAAAGTACACCGGCCCTGAATTTGAGCCCCAGTATTCATTCTCATTCTCTTTCTCTCTTTCTCTCTCTCTTTCTCTCTCTCTCTCTCTCTGACACACACACATACACAGAAAAAGAAATTCTTGGGTTTTTAAGAGTTTAGTCTTTGTGGCCCTATGGGTTGAGCCATAACCTCTAGACCCACAAAATGCACAAGCGCTCTAGCTCTTGAGCCATGCAGCAGCCCTTAGCTCTCCCTTTTAGATCAATCGTTTTCTGAGCCTTCCACTGCTTAACCAAAACTGGATGAAAATGCACAAATTCAGGGGCAAGGTAGAGAACCCCAGAAAGGGCGGGAGAAGGTCTTGTACTTACTCCTCATGCTTGATGCCCAGCGACTCCCCCTTGTCTGTGCTCAGGGTGCCTGCGCCCTGCCCATAGCCATAGCCTTTTGGCCCATACTTCTTGCCATAGCAGGACTTGCAGTAGATCTCCTCCCCGTGCACGGCCACAGTGGTGCTGTCCAGATTCTTCTTACAGACCACTGTAGGGGAGACACAGGAATGGTGAGCCATAGCCAGTTTGTTCCTGAAGCTCTCTGGGCATTTTGCACATATTATCCTGCCCTCTTAGGAGCTGAGTAGAAACGGAGGACAAGCCGGGCACTGTTGACTCATACTACTACTCAGGAGGCTGAGATCTGAGGATTGCAGTTCAAAGCCAGCCTGGGTAAGAAAGATCATGAGACTCATCTCCAATTACCCAGGGGAGCTGTGGTTCAAGGTGGTAGAGTGCTGGCCTTGAACAAAAAAGCTCTAGGACAGCACCCAGGTCCTGAGTTCAAGCCCAATGGAGGAGGAGGAGGAAGAGGAGGAGGAGGAGGAGGTAGAGGAGGAAGAGGAGGAAAAGAAGAAGGAGAAGAAGAAACAGAGGACAATGAGGTGGCCAATGAGCCGGAGGGCAGAAGGATGGTATGTGTACATCCCCACCTCCCCATATACTTCCGAGAATCCATGTTTCCCTCAGACCCCAGGGATCACAGCCTACAGGGCATCAGATGAAGCTCTTCCCTCTGACCTTGACAAAGAGGCCATGTGTCCCACCATGGGAGGAGAAAGCAGAAAAGAAGAAGGGCAGGAGTTTCCTACTCCAACAATGGAATCGGGAGACATCTGTGCAGTGATGGAGTTGAGAGGGGGTATGCTGGTGAACTGGAGAAATGTTGAATATGTATGGGTCCTGAATTGCAGAAAAGTTGAGCAAGTATTAAGTACCCAACATGGCGGGCTTTGAAATGAGACACAGGCCACGCTAATCAGGATTTGTGGTTTCTCAGAAATCACTATGTCTTAGGGAAAAGCGAGCGCAGACACTGGAAAGAACTTCTTGGTCCCCAGGAGAAAGAGAGATTGGAATAGGGTGAGGAAACCTGTGGGCCTCCGCCACCTTCCTGCATAAGAAGATCCAGAGTTGGCATCAGAGTCCAGCCTTCCTTCCAAGCTGTGGCTAGAGCAAGAGATTTTGAGTTCGCAGCCTCTGTGGCCTCATTTGTAAACACAGGTGATTGTGTCTACCCCAAAAGGTGGTTCTAAGACTCCACTGAGGTCTTACCTGCGACACATTGCCCACTGTAGCCAGTGTAACAGGTCCACAATAAACATTGGCTACTTTATAGAACTCTACAAAGCTGCTCCCACTGGGAGACAGAGAAGGCAAGGGTCAGGCCCAGGCCTCAAGAGATCACAAACTTTTCCAACCATTTTTCTCACAAGACCTCACTTCATCTTTTCATCCTGTCATCCTAACTGGGTGGGATTTGGTGGGCCTGAATGAACATTCACACACACCTCTGAAGCCAGAAGCCAAAGGATACCTCTGAAGAAGCAGAACCTCTTGTCTCTGAGAGAAGGAGATAGAAGATCGGTTTAATGGCTAACAACTTGTTCTTGCCTTTAAAGGGCCCAGTCCTCCACCAGAAACTCTCACCCTGAGCCCCAGAGGTTGTAGGCTTCAGACTAAATAAGGACCTCCTGTCCTGCCCTGGAGATCTCCACCTAATTCCTATAATCTGGGCCACCCAAATATGGAACCTCCCATTACCTCCCCCCACCCCCCAGGGAACAGAAGGCTAAAGGCTCCAACATTCCCTTCTAGGGTGAGGAGTCAAGAACTGGCCTGAAATTATTCCCACCAGACCTACGCTGAACTGGAAATTCCAAGATCTGAGGGAAGGCAGAAAGCAAAGAGTGGTTGGGGAACCACGCCTCTTTGGCTGATGTCACCAGCAAGACTTCAGCACAGAGGAGACATCAGGGCCTACTTGTTGCTACCTTCAAGATGGCTGCCCTGTTATGCTGGTCAGGAAATGCCTAGGCCTGTGGTTGGAGTTCTCTTAGACATGTGGCCTGCCCACCCCGGCCCACTCTCCACTTCTCCCCAGGGCCTCTGTCCCCTCATCTCCTTCCAAATTTCATAGTAGAGAACTCAGCTCTTTTGTAAGGTCTAAGGGAAGGTTTGGAACATGCTCCCTACTCCTTCTATCTCTTATGAATAATCATTTCTACCAAATAATACTAAGATAATAAAAAAGCAGGCAACCAAGGTTCATGCCTACAATCTTAGCTACTCAGGAGGATTATGGTTTGTGGTTAGCCCAGGTAGAAGTATGCTAGACCTCCATCCTCCTAATAACCAGCAAAATGCAGGGTTAGAGGTATGGCTCCAAGTGGTGGTGCCAGTTGAACAATCTTAAGGCCCTGAGTTCAAACCCAGTACTGCCAGAAAAGAAAAAGAAAACCAAAAAACTGGCTTAGTGTATTTGTCAGGGAAGGTGTACTTCCAGATACCACCTGGCTGGGTGGGGCCTAATGCCATTTGGAAGTACAAGAAAGTGGCAGTGACTTTGCTCCAGCCAAGACAGAGAGTCATTTTTCTCTAGAAGGAAAACAAGGCCCACAGGGGAGGGGGAGGGACGACACACAGTTCAAGTTCACATAACCAGAGGCAGGGCAAGACCAGATCCTGGCCCCTGATTTCCACTGCTGGTTTTCTGCCAGCCCAAGGCTCCCTAGTGTTGGTCAAGCAGTAAGCCCAGAAGGGTGAAAACTGACTTTTAACTTCACCCCGAAGGTCAGAGGGTATATTCATGTTCTGCAAGCTTCCTCTGTGCTCTACGCCTCTGGGGAACAGCAGAGGGCCAGTCTGCAGGCATCAGTTTTCTTAGCTGCCACCATCAGGCTAGGACACGTGGTCCTTCTTGTCCACAAGGTGGCTGCGCACATCAGCCCACCCTGGTTGCAGATGAGAGATAGGCGCTGAGCTTCCAGCAGGCTCCAGGCCAGAGCTGAGTTCGCCTCTGAGAGAGCTGAACCCTCCGCTAATGGGAACTGCCTGCCCTACTGAGACTACAGGGGTGTAAGTCCTGGGAAAGTGCTAGTACATCATCCAGTCTTCTTGTGCCCATCCCAGACTCTCAGGAAAGGAAATGTGGGCACCAAGCTGGGCTGAACCCAGAGCCAAGAACTTGAATGATGAAAACTTCTTTTGGGCCAGGTGCTGGTGGCTCACACCTGTCATCCTAGCTACTGAGGGGGCTGAGATCTGAGGATCACAGTTCAAAGCCAGCCTAGGCTTTGAGCCACAAGACTTTTATCTTCAATTAACTACCAGAAAACCAGCTGTGGCTCAAAGTGGTGGGGTGCCAGCCTTGAGCACAAAAATCTCAGGGACAGTGTGCAGGCTCTGAGTTCAAGCCTCACAACTGACCACACACACACACACATACACACATACACACACACACACACACACACACACACACACACACGGCTCTTGTGTTCCATGCCATCTAGGCCCAGTCTCTGCCAGCCTCCCCCTTCCTTAGGAGGTAAAGTCCTTTGAACTGTGGGTTACCTTAAATTCAAGCTGGACACTGACCACCCAATAAAGCAATTCCTAAGCAAGTCTCAGAGGGCTGGCACACGGGGTGAAGACCCAGAGCACTGGGCATAGGCAGTGCCCTGACATCCAGGAAGAGCTGCCCAGACCCTGAGACCCCAGAGATACACCAACCATTTCTTTCTTCTGCATAATACCCTCCCTCCCCCTGCTCCCCAGTCTGACTTTCTGCAACTGTTTCTAATCCCTGACACCCCCTCAAACCCCCACTCCGTGCTGCCCCAGGCACTGTTCCTTCCTTCCTATGCCACCCCCTGAATTCCTGACCTCCCTCCACAGCAGGACTGCAGGCAGGACTCTGGGGCACAGCTGGCTTCTCTTCATCTATGATTAAGTAACACTTGGGAGCAGAGGCCCTTTGGACCCCCGCAGCCTAGAGCCTCATCCTAGTCAGGGCCAAGGCCTCCCTGATTCTCTTGGGGGGGGGAAGCAACTGCTGGAAAATCTGAGTGATGAACTGTAATAACCAGACTGCAGACCGGAAGCCAGCAGAGCTACCCTGGAGCTTGGTGTCACACAAACCCTGAGGCTGTCACTCCAGACTCACTGGGCAGTGTGGGGCCCTGTCTGCCCTGTCTGTGCCGGGTGGCTTCAGGGTGGATAAAGATGTGGACAACATTCCGTGAACAGGTAACCCTTGGTCCACATAGATTGTTCTCAAGAGCCCAGTCCACCAGGGAGCAAAGGAAGCTTAGATCTCCCAACGGTCTCACACAATGCATGATGGACAGGTCATTCCTTCCCTAGAGCATCCAAAGAGGCTGGGACATCAAATCCCCGGAAGCTCTCTTCTCTGTCACACTACATGGCTGTAGATCCCAGAGCAATAAACATGATGTGTATGTGTACACATAGGCATGCGTGTACACCAAAGAAGTGTCTGTCATTTATTGAACATCCACAGTTGCTTTAAGTGCTTTTTGTTTTTTGGTGCCAGTACTTTTTTGTTGTTGGTGGTGGTAGTCATGGGGTCTGAACTCGGCCTGGGCACTGTCCCTCAGCTCTTCAGCTCAAGGCTAACACTCTACCACTTGAGCCACAGCACTACTTCTGGCCTTTTCTGCTTATGTGGTACTGAGGAATGGAACCCAGGGCCTCATGCATGCAAGGCAAGTACTCTATCACTGAGCCACCTTCCCATCCCTGGTGCCAGTACTTTTTGACCTGGGCACTGTCCCTTAGTTTTTTTTTTTTTTTTTTTGCTCAAAGCTAGTGTTCTACCACTTGAGCTACCACTTGAGCTCCACTTCTGGGTTTGTTTTTTTGTTTGCTTGCTGATTAACTGCAGTTAAGAGTCTCATAGATTTTCCTGCTCAGACTGGCTTTGAACTAAGATCCTCAGATCTCAGCTTCTTGGATAGCTAGGTTTACAGGTGAGAGCCACCAGTGCCTGGTAAGTGCTTTGTTTCACAAGTTCCTTTCAGTTCTCACAACAGCCTCAGAAAATGCTGATGAGAAAAATTGATAAACTTGTCCTTCATCTAAATAGACAATTCAACTGTGCTTCTAAAATGCATTTGTGGTAGGTGACTTTTCTTATGTGGACATTCTGCTCTGATCATATCAAATCAACCATTCAGGAATCAGAAGAGAAGCTCCTCCAAGTTGGCACTTCCTGGAAACTTCATCAGGACTAGGTATGAACCAGAGCAGCATGGAGGAGACAGGGTTCTTAGGTAGACCTGACTCTCGCGGCGTGGCATCCTGTGCCTATTTCTTACTCTTTCAGACTTGTAAATGCAGTAACTCTCATTCTAGATTTTTAGGAGGGGATATCTACAAACTTGGAATGTAGAAAGTGGATGAAATAGCTTGAAAGGGCTAAGGAAGGAAGAGCCTCACCTTCCTCTACATTGACCTTCATCAGAAGTTGCCGCCTTTTCATGAGTGATCATTTGGATGTGAAGGCTAGTAAAATTTTGCACAAAAAGTGTCCTCTTCTGCTGAGGACATGTAGCTCATGCCTGTAATCCTAACCACTCAGGTGGCTGAGATACGAGGACTGTGGTTCAAAGCCAGCCTGGGCAGGAAAGAACATGGAACTCTTCTCTCCAATGAACTAGCAAGAAGCCAGAAGTGGCCAGAAGTGGCTCACATGGTACAGTACCAGCCTTGAGCGAAAAAGCTAAGGGACAGTATATAGGCCCTGAGTTCAAGCCCTAGTATCAGCACATACACACACAGTTTCCTCCTCTGAAATGATGGAATTGGGGCTGGGAGAAAGGACAAGCGAGTGAGTGAGAGAAAAGAAGAGAGTGGAAAGTTTTCCTAACCAAGTCTTTCCAGCTTGGCTCTCAGCCCCCCCACGCCTGCCACCCCAACCAGCCCTGGCCAGTTCACCCCTCAGAAAACAGCTTCTAAAGGGAACAAAGAGGCCCTTAAGTGTTTCCCCTCCCCAGCTGTGCTTCAGCCAAATGTCAAGCTGTTTACATCCCGTGGGACCGTTCCCTGGGGTGTTGACAGGCCCCAACTGTAGGGGCAGGCCTGGCCGGCCTGGGTGGGACTTACTGCACAGGAAGCAGGATTTGTGGAAGCTGTTGCCTTCACACTGGACCTCCTCAGCAAAGTAGACGGTCTTCTGGCACACCCCACATTTCTTGCCTCCTCCCCAGTTTGGCATTCTGAAAAGGAACACAGAAATGGGAATTAAGTTCACAAAGCAATGAGAAGAGATTACCCATGGCAGAAAAGCACCAGGCAGAGACTGAGAAGCAAAGGGAAAAGTGGTATCCCTCTGGGGACCACTGGATCGCTTCCTGCTGGATCACTTCCAGTTTCTTCTCAACAACACCTTGCAGCTGCTCCTGGGGACCCTCCTTCCATCCAATGCTAGTTACCAATGGCTGTTGGGTTGTCAGCTCTGTGTCCAAGACACTCAACAGGACACAAACAAGCATAAGACACAGGTTTTACCAAGGAGGCTGTAGGCACTGCCCGGGGACCAGCCAGGCAGCACGCCGGTGAGGGTACTACTCACAAAGCATAGCCTCAAAAGAACAGATCAGCGGGGCATTGCTGTTGGTGGCTCACACCTGTAATCCTAGCAACTTGGGAAGCTGAAATCTGAGAAGCCAGCAGCAAGTTTGTGAGAAACTTATTTCTGATTAACCACCAAAAAGCCAGAAGTGGAGCTGTGACTCAAGTGGTAGAGCACCAATCTTGAGCAAAAAAGATCAGGGACAGCACCCAGGCTCTGTATTCAAGTCCTAGGATGGGTGCGTGCGCATATATGCACATACACACACACAAACAGATCGAGCAGAATTCACAAAACATGTTTTTGTTGTTGTTTGTTTGTTTTTGTTGTGGGGCCTGAACTCTGGGCCTGGGCGCTGTCCCTCAGCTCTTCAGCTCAAGGCAAGTGCTCTACCACTTGAGCCACAGCACCACTTCCGGCTTTTTCTGCTTATGTGGTGCTGAGAGCTATCGAACCCAGGGCCTCATGCATGCAAAGCCACCTTCACAACTCCCAAAACATCTGTTTCTGAAAGCTCACACATATGGTCAAAAGACGAGCATAGGGGCAGATCCTCAGATCTCAGCCTCCTGAGTAGCTAGGATTACAGGTGTGAGCCACAGGTGACTGGCAGAATATGGCTTTTTTGATAAGCACCCCAGGTGAGCCCAAAGCAGATGGTCTGGATCAACTTGGAGGTATTCTTTTTTTTTTTTTGTTGGTCGTGGAGCTTGAACTCTGGGCCTGGGCGCTGTCCCTCAGCTCTTCAACTCAAGGCGAGCGCTCTACCACTTGAGCTACAGTGCCACTTCCAGTTTTCTGGTGGTTTTATTGGAGATAGGAGTCTCACGGTCTCTCCTGCCCAGGCTGGCTTTGAACCTCGATCCTCAGATCTTAGCCTCCTGAGTAGCTAGGATTACAGGCGTGAGCCACCAGCGCCCTGCTGGAGGTATTCTTTTAGTTCAGAGCCACAGTGTGGTCCAATCTTGAGCCTGCCACTTGCCAGCTCTAAGAGCCTGGGAAACTCTTTCCAAACCTTGATTTCTACATCTAAAATTGTAGACGAAAATAGAAGCCACTGCTTAGAAGTATCTCTCAGGACTGAATGAGGTGCGGTGTGGTACACCAGAGGGTGTAGGCCACAGGACCTTGGAGAACAGAAGACAAGAGCAATGGAACCAGCTTCTCTCCTTTAATCTCCATCTTTCCCCTAACAGACATGACATGAAGAGACAAGACCATGAAGACAGGCGAGCTCTTCCCGGCTCCCGGACTGAGGATGCAAGCTGGATACCAGTGTGGCCCCGGACTTGGTAAGTAAAAGGGACATAGGGGGCTAGGAAAGGGGGGGTGGAGCCAGAGGAGATAAAGAAGCGGAAGGAGCAAAGCCCCAGGTCCTATGTGGAAGAGTTGCTGGAAAACAGGAGGTGGCTTTGAGAACTTGTTGTCCTGGTGCCAGAGTGAATGTTCAGGCTAAAGGGAAACACGGCCTCCACCGCCAGAGAGCTTCCCAGCCACAGTGGCATGGGCCTCGGCTCAAGAAGAGAGTGCGGGTCATGTTCCATGGTGTCTCTGGGCCCTGCCTAGCACCTGCTATGCGGTGTTCCATAGACAATTGAGAAAGGGGTGCTTGAGGCAGAGTACTGCAGGTCACCACTGGGCCCAGTGGACCTGCAGAGAACCTGGGATCTAGCAGGGAGGCTCAGTGAACCTGAGCAGAGGGAGCAGCAGGGCCGAAGGAGAGGGAAAGGCATTGGTAATGCCAGCTTGCCGCTCTCCCCGGTTATGGAGCCCATTATTACCACGACGACAGGAGACTTCAGGAAAGGTGCCCCCTCCCACCTCCTGTCCAGCCCCACAGGCTGGGGCACACCTCTGACACATCTGAAGACAGGCACCAGTTCCCACGGCCAGCCTTTCATATCCCATGGGTCCTTCACCCCTTTCTGTCCTGAAGACTCCAGGACAAATGCCTTTACTGAGCTAAGGCTGGGGCTAAAAAACCACCCAGCATAAAGGCAACTTCACAGGAAGGGAACATCTATTACTGCCTGGCCACTCGCCATTCTTCCCTTCAGGAATGGCAGTTCTCTTCAAGGGAAATGCCCAGGCCTCACACTTATCTCTGAGTAGGGACAGAGCCTAAATCATTTAAGCCAATCATGACCCATTCTATTCCCCGGCCAGCACCTAGCCCATTTCTGACAGTGAGCTAGGAGACAGCTCCAAAAGCTCTGGGGAGATGTGCTCAGCCACATGGAGCCAGACAGGCAGACAGGCCCTGACCCTGGGAACCGGCCCACCCCACCACCTCCTGCACACCAGACTGTCAAAGGGTATCATCCCAATGTACCCTGTCATCTGAAGATAGATAGTACATGCCCCCATTGCAGATAAGAAAAGCAAGATTCAGAGATGTGAGGCAACGTGCTTGTCATCTCTCAGCGGGGAGAGGCAGAACTGGATTCTACAGCAGCTCCATCCACCTCTTTCCTCCATGACCCCAGTCTCTAGGTTGAACAGGACAAGCATGGGGTTCATTAAGGCTGGATCTCATGCTTAGCCCTCTCCTCCCTTTCCAGACCTCATAACCAGCAAGAGTCACACTCGTGTCCCCAGGGATACCCCGAAGGGAGGAAAGTTCCCCTAACCACATGGTGGGGAGCCATGCCAAACAGTGCTTTGTTCCCAGACACAAGGCCCAGCTCCCGCTGGGGGAGACCCAAAGCTCCAGACAGGCCTCCCCTTGTTCTCCCTGGCCCCGCATGAGGGACCCACATCCAACAGGGCCCCGGGCAATTGGGAACATGGGCGGAGAGATGGGTGAAGCCCAGGGACCTGTCAGGCAGGGAGATCTGCTCAGGATGCCTCTATGTGGGCTGTTCCTTTGCGTCTGGTGTCTTGTTGGGGTTCTCTCTTTAAGAAGACAGTTCTGGAATAGGGGGCTCCAGGCCTGGAGACTGTCCATAGCCAGGAAGGGCCTCTGGCTCTCGCTCTGCCCAGATGAGGACCCCTCTGGGGACCCTGCACAGAGTCCTGGCCACCTTCTTGCCCCACTGGCTCCACCCAGCCTCTTGTTTCCAGCAGCCAAATTCTGCCAGTGGGAGGCTGGATTGCCTTAAATGGAAAGCTGTTTCTGTTTGTGGCCTAGAGGGGGACTTGGCTCTTCAATTGACTTCCCAGTTTGGGGGAGGTTGAAGCCAGGGAGACTGAAGACCTGCTGTGGCAAAGAACTTTCCACAGGATGGCTTAGGCTGTGCTGTTTGGAGGTTAGGGATCTGTAGCAAGTTACTTTCTGCTTTTAGTTTCATTTGCCTGTGTCTCACAAAGAGACCGCTCCCTCTCCTTTCCCTCCTCCAGATTAAACCAGAATGTACGAAAGGAACGGCACGGTGTCTTACACCATTAATAGACTGGCCTACCCAAGCCTTCATACCACCCTGCCAGATGTGTAGCCAGATGATGCACATCTGGAAGGAACAGTCCTGAGAAGCTATATGCCCGGCTGGGAACCAGGAACTCCTGACTGGTCTGTCAACCAGCTAGGGAGTCTGGGACAAGCTACTAGTTAACTCTTTTGGGGTTCAGCACCTCAGTTATCTGACTACATGAGACCACAAGCCGGGGCCCTGTCTTTACATCAGGCTCTCTAGTACATGGCTCTGGTGATCAAGAATCATTGCTACTTTCTATAATCACAAAATCCACAGCGGTTTCTCTTCAGAGAGTTATATTCCTATTGGGAATTGCTGTCTGTGTTCTGGTTTGTTTTCCCTCACTGTCTTGATAATCCCAGTAAGAATAAAACTTGAATTTTCTTTATGGTGGCTGGATATATCCAGTTGGGTCAGTGATAGCAAATTAAGATTAACTAGACTCTGCCAGAGTACCACATCCAGGTACAAAAAAACAAAGAAAGGTTTATTGCCGGAAAAGGGGGCCGGCAAGACTCCTTCTCACAAGGGAAAAGTGACAAGAAGTACCAGGGTGACCTATGTAACCTAGGAGGCTTAGGAGGGACTAGAAGGGGCTAGCAGGTGGAGACCCTGGTGTGGACGTGTGGGCCAGGGGCTTCATCATGTCAGACTAGGATTGATGGGTGCTGTCCAAATAGTAGATAAGGGTCCTGCAACTGCCCAGACCTGAAGGCCACTCTAAGGGGCTCTTATATTGTGGGAGCTGCCCCCAGAGAAGTGCCATCTCAAGGCAAAGGGGGCTGGAAGTTGATTTTTTACTGCCTTTATTACACGGGCCTATTGCTGCCTAGGAAGGGAGCATGCTAAGCTGTGGAGAAGGGAAGGAGTGGACTAAGCTATGGGAAGGGACTCATTTCCCTAACAGTCAGGAGCTTCAAACTAGATCAATGATAAGACTCTTCTGATACACAACTAACACAAGCCTGCTGCTCTTTCTCATTCATTTGTCAGCTGGACCTGAGACTTCAGCTTGACTTACAGGAAATTTGGGTAAGTGTGAGTCTTTTCCCTTTCTGCCTCTGTAGCTGTGAGTGCCGCCATCTTGGATCTATCCTCTCAAGATTGATGGATTCCGTGGGTCATGTTTCCCATTTAAGGAACATCAGGGGTGCCTGACCCAGTCACCCAGGCCTGAAAACCCATTCCACATTTTTATTTTCCCAGTGGAAAGACCCGTCTCTCCTACCCCCTAATCCCTTGTTCCCTACAGCCAGCCAGAAGGATTACATCTCCACCCTCTTGGTCCAGTAAAGACCTGTCAGGTGTTTATCTAGTTAGAAATGTGCTGCTCTGGTTACCTGAGTTGTTTGGTATCTGCCAGGTACACAGGAGTGTTTGTCATCCTTTCCAGCTAAGCAGCTCAATGTCTTTCTCCACACCCCCAGATCCATACAGCAGCCAAGAACAGAAGGAAAAGGGAGGGGTGGTTTAGAGCTCACAGAGCCTGCATCTTACCAGTGACCCCTAAGACCTCCCGTGAAGGTAACAGTCCCTCATGGAGGAATAGCCAATGGAGAAACGGCACAGGCACCACCGCAGCTGCATGGAGCCCACTATCTGGTTTCTTTGGAACTTTGAACTTGACTCTTAGGAGTCATCCAGCATCACTAAGCTATGATGACTCCAGATCCTGAAGCACTCTGCTCTCAAGCCTATGCCCCATGGCTCTCATGGGACTGGGAGCTGCCAAGGGCAATGCTGTGTCTCTCCATTTCCCCTCTGGTCCCCCAATGTCTTTCATAGCAGAAGTCTCTACCACTGAAGTTCAATTATCTGAAGGCCCTATGAAAGAGGAAATTGGGGGGGGTATGACTTTTTTGTTGTTGGTTTTGAACTCATGTATATAGGCAAGTGCTCTACTTCTTGACCCAAGTGCCTAGCACTTTCATTTGTTTTATCTTGTAAAAGCCAACTTAAAAATGTTTGGTTCTGGCCCAGCGCTGGTGGCTCACACCTCTAATCAAGGCTGAGATCTGAGGATCATGGTTCAAAGCCAGTGTAGGCAGGAAAGTCCATGAGACTCTTATTTCCAATTAACCACCAGAAAACCAGCTCAAGTGGTAGAGCACTAGCCTTAAGCTGGAGAGTGCAGGGACAGCGTCCAGGCCCATAGTTTAAGCCCCATGACCAACCAAAAAAAAAAAAAAGTTTGGTTCTGTTTTCTTACTGTACAGGCGTTGAAGCTTGAACGTGGAGCCTGGGCACTGTTCCTTAGCTCTTTTCCACTCAAGGCTGGCACTTTCCTACTTGAGCCACTCTACTTCTGGCTTATTTGCTGGTTAAGTGGAATTAAAAATCTCATGGACTTTACTGCATGGGCTAGCTTCAAACTGAAATCCTCTGATCTCAACCTCCTGGGTAGCAAGAACAGACATGAGCCACTGGTGCCTAGCTTGAAAATGTTTTTTGTTTTGGCTAGGCCTGTGAATGAACTAAAGCTAGATACTATCACCCACCCTGACTTTGTCCTTTGCTCTGAGTCATTTTCTCCTGCAGTCATTTTATAAGTACCTTAGGCCTCAAGAACAGATTCAGCAATAAGCATGTTAAGACAATAGCAAACTGCCCCTCAACAATCTTCTTATCATCTGGAAGAAAACAGTCAAATGTTACAGGCTTCCTGACAGGTATCTAGAGTCAAAGGCCGAGCTAAAGACCAGTCAAGCTACACCTGTGGGTTGACACTGTCTTAACAATGCCTACCCTTCTCACCCTCTGCCCCCGAGTCTCCCTATTTAAGCTGAGGCTGACTGAAGATTACTGACGTACTGTCTTCCCACACTGCCATGTAATAAATCTTTCTCTGCTGTGTCTCTGTAACTTGGCATATGGAAGGGAGTAGCCAGACCTAATATGGGACCCCTGGACTTTGGGTGTGGGATCTAAAATCCAGTTTTAGGCAGGCAGGCCTCTCAGCCTAATCCTCTTGCTGAGGACTCCTGTAGTAGGAATTACAGATGTGTATCCCTACTATGCTTTTTTTTTTGGAGGGGGTGGGGGTGGGCAGGGAGATGGGAGTTACTGAGGATGAATCCCAGGGCTTCACAAATGCAAAGCCACTGCTCTACGGCTTCTTCTAAGTATTTTGAAACTAACAGAAAATTCTATATCATAATCAGGCTTTGCAGACGAATTAAGTAATTGGATTTGCTTGCGTCTGAAATGATGTCATCTAGAATGGTAACAATTAGCTAGCCCACATGCTTAAACAAAAAGACCTGGATGTTTTTCTTTGATGAATTTTTAAAAAGCAAAAACAAAGGAGCACTTAGCCTCGATAAACACAGGTTGCCAGCAGCTGGCAGGTCCAGGAAGCACCATCCCACACCACCCCCCTCGAGAGAATGCCCAGGGGAAGAGGGGCCACCTGGTTAGGCCAGGCTCCAGCTGCAAACCTGCTGTTCCTTCCTCCCCCGGCACGGTAGAGGAGCCAGACGCTGCCTTCTGCAAATGCCAGAGTCTGGAAACACTCACTGTCTCTTAATTACACACTTTACCATACATGGGAATTACTCAGTGCTGACGTCAGACACATTCCTGGGGAACTGTGTAGTACAAGCCACGTCATTACCATATAAATTCCTGACAACTGGAAACAGCAGGCGACTGACTGCCTGTCAGGGCTGTAGACCCTCCATTCCCTTTCCCCAAGCAGCAGCAACAGTAGCTCTCTCTCTCCCGCTCACTCCACCCTGCCTCTGGCTCTCTCTCTCTCTTCCTCTCTTGCTCTTTTCCAGGCTTTTTTTCCCCTGCAAGGCTGGTCCCAAAACTCAAACATGCATCAGGTCTGCTGGAAAACAGCAGGATTCCTTCCCTCTCCTGCCCAGCCACACCGCAAGAGTGAAAACCTAAAGACTGGATTTTCCAACTCTGACCACATCCATGCCCAAACCACAAAGTTCTATCTGCCTTTACATCATCAGTAAGCCACTGCAGAGCTGTCTTCTACAGTTAACGTTTCACAAATGACAGCCGTTTCCAGAGTGAGCTGACCTGGAAAGAAAGAAAGAGGGAGACGGTAAAGAAAAAATACCAGGTTATAGCAGCAGTCCGTCTCTGCTTGAACAGGGACTGCACAGGGACTGCACAAGGCGACCAGCTGCTGTCCTGGGCAAGTTCCTAACTCCACCTCAGAGCCTTGGTTTCTTCATTAGCCAGCAGCAGCAAGCACCTACTCACCCCATAAACTGTCAAGATAATACACATGAAGGAATTAGCACCTGCCCAGAACACAACTAGTGCAGATAGCTGATACTATTATCTTCAGGAAAGACCAGTTCTAACTCTCATGGCTCGTTTTTATAGCTCGGTATTTGCCACTGGGCCTGCATAATAGGAAACTACAGACTTGGAGGAATCCTTTCACTGCTGGCATCTCTTTGGATCTCCAAAATGTTTAATGCTTGCATCTTTACAGGCCTCTAGCAAGTCAACTTCTCACCCAGAATCAGGCTTGCATAAACTAGCAGCCTACAGGAAAGCCTTCCAATCAGGAAATCCACAGTGAATAAAAACTTTTCCTTTACCTGTTTGTAATCACTACTTAGATGAAAAACCTACCTGGCAACTATTAGCAAGACTTATTAATATCCAGTAAGGTAATTCAGCTGAAAGGCCATTCCTACAAATGTTCATTTGTTGTGTTTAAAAACATTTTTTTTTAAATCCAGTCTTACTAGGTAACTCAGACTGGCCTCTAACTTGCTTTGTAGCCCAGGCTGGACTTGAACTTGTGTTCCTCCAGTCTCAACTTCCTGGGAATCACAGGCATAAGTCTAGCCACCTGGCTTCATTCACCCAGTGTTTACTAATCACCAATCAAATCAACATTACCTAAGCTGTAATTCTGGCTCTGGGAAGACCGAATTACTAAAGAGAATACGTGGGCTAGGAGGGCAGGTGCTAGGAGCAAAGAATCCAGGATACCCTTGGTTTTCACTCTGCTTAGCAGGCCAGTCAGAGCTCCTGGGCCTGCTTTTCTGTTCCTCCTGCACCCTCTCCACACCCAGACCCTGCTCCCCACTCCCTAGGCATGGAGGCCTTGGGCACAGTGCCTCTGGCCAAGGCCAACACCACACCCTGTGCAAGATAAACTTCCTTTTCTGTCAGATTGTCTCCATCCTGGCTATCATCACCTAGGAGAGGGTCCTTCACAGGGAGACGCAGAAGCTCCAGCCTGCACTCTGCAGTGAGGAGGACATAAAAATGCAAACAGCAGTCTAGGGTTCAGGTCAGACTCTCCAAAGGTGAGGCTGGGCAGCAGGAGGCAGCACAAGAGTGAACACCAGGAAAACTCAGTACCCAATTGTCAGTTCCACCTGTTGGCAATCCCCAGATGGTCTGAGGAACGGAGGCCACTCGGTTTGCCCCAGAAAGGGGAGAGGGGAGGACAGAAGGCAGCGGTACTTGAGCACAATCCTGTGGAAAGGCTTTTGTAATGCTAGCACCAAATACCCACTCAGAAACTGAGGCAGGGAAAAGTAAGTGATAACCTGTTCAAGGTCAGTGGTGTAGGGCCAAGGCAAATCTAAGAGTCAGCCTGCCAGCCTTCAAGACGCTCCTCAGGATAAAACTTTTCTACTGGGCTTCTCAGAGCCGCAGGAGTGGTATTCCAAGACACTGACCACGGAGAAGATAGTGGGAGACCTGCCTATTCAATCACCCCCAGGGAACAGGGGTTCAGGCTGGAGCCCCCCACTTTAGGGAGGGCACCCCCGACCTCCACCTGGTGATGACAGGAGCCAGAAGTGTGCAGATCGCAGCCAAGTTGTAGCCACCAGGTGAATCATCTGCCCCGTCACCTGCTCTCTCCACCAGGTAAAACACCTGTCCCGGTGTGTTGTTCACACACTGCAAAGTGCTCCACTGTGCTCATCGTGGGCGCCCATCTCCACCCCAGCCTTCAAGGACCAAAGCCACAGAACAGTCCCTGTAGCTCTTCCATGTTTGAGTCATGGGGTCCCCACCTGGCACCAAGACCTGGGAGGAGAGGAAGGGAGGTGAAACCATGCAGTTTTCATCTCTCTTTTTAAGAAAAGGAAAACCCGCACCTGCGCTCAGGGCCCCCCCCCCCCCGGCCCAAGACCACGCCCACAGGGCCAGATGTTTCCCCAGTCCCCCGGGCGGGCGGGCGCGGGCACGTTCCGCCTGCGAGAGGAGGGCCAGGGAGGGGGTGGCACGGATGCCCTCATCTCTCGGCCATACAAAGAGCGTCAGTGCCCCGCAGAATTGCCGATTGTTCTGCCCGACCTGCAGGCAGCGGGGAGAGCCGGGTCGCCCTGGGTCAGGGCCCCCGCGGATGCCAACGGGGGGTCCCCGAAGCCCCGGCTTGGGGAGGGGCGCGGCGCTTCCTGGAACGAGGGCATCGGCCCGCGAAGGCCGCTTCCCGCGGTTCCTCCGGGGTGACTTTTCCTCCAAACTTTTCTGACGGCCGCGGGCGGGGGCGC